TTGATTTTTCCAATTCATAAGCATGGACTATTTTTCCATTTGTTTGTGTCTTCCTTGACTTCTTTGAGCAGGGTTTTGTAGTTTTCATTGTAAAGGTCTTTCACTTCTCTGGTTAGGAAGATGCCAAGGTATTTCATTTTTGTGTGGCTATTGTGAGTGGGATTGTGCTTTTTGTTTGGTTCTCTGCCTGTTTGTTGTTGGTCTATAAAAATGTCTTTTGCACAGTGATTTTTTTAATGCTGAGAGTTTACCAAAGTCATTTATCAATGCTAGGAGTGTTTTGATAAATTCCCTTTGGTTTTCTAGGCATAGGATCATATCATCTGCAAAGAGGGATAGCTTAATTTTCTCTTTTCCTATTTGGATACCCCTGATTTCTTTCTCTTGCCTGATTGCTCTATCTAGGACTTTCAATACTATGTTGAACAGGAGATATGAGAGTGGGCAGCCTTTTCTTGCTCTGGTTTTCAAAGGAAATGTTTCCAAATTTTGTCAGTTGAGCAGCATATTGGCTGTGGGCTTACCAAAGATAGCTTTTACTGTTTTGAGAAATGTTCCTTCTGCGCCCAAATGTTCAAGGGTTTTTATCAAGAAGGGAGGCTGGATTTTGTCAAAAACATTTTCTTGATCATGTATTTCTTGTTTTTACAATTGTTGATGTACTGAAATATATTTACAGCTTTTTTTGTTGAACCAACTAGCATCACAGGCATGAAGTCAACTTGGTCATGGTGAATGATTCTTGAAATGTGTTGTTGGTTCCTATTGCTAGGATCTTGTACAGAATTTTTGCATCTACATTCATCATGGAGATTGGTCTGTAGTTCTCTTTCCTTGATGGGTCTTTTCCATGTTTGGTATTAATGTGATGTCAACTTCATAAAATGATTTGGGGAGAGTTCCATCTTTCTCAATTTCCCAGAATACTTTTGATAGGATTGATATCATCTCCTCTTTGCATTTTTTTGTAGAATTTGGTTGGGAAGCCATCATTTTTTTGTGGGAAGTTTTTTTATGGCAAAGTCAATTTCCTGGAGTGTTATTGGTCTGTTGAGGGTTTCAATTTCTTCTTGTGTCAACCTAGGAAGGTTGTATGATGTTAGAAAGTCCTCCACTTCATTTAAGTTCTTGAGTTTGTTTCCATACACGTGTGCATGGTACACTCTAATAATCTTTTGAATTTCTTTGGGATCAGTTGTAACTTTATCTTTTGCATTTCTAGTTGTGTTTATTTGGGCTTTTTTTTCTCTTTTTCTTGGTCAATCTGGCTAGGGGTCTGTCAATCTTATTTATTCTTTCAAAAGAACCAGTTTTTGTTTTGTTGATTTTTTTTTTCTATGATATTTTTGTCTTCTGTGTTCTGTGGTTGGGTCTTTACCTTGGTGATGTAAATGCTTCTACTGAAGTTAGGGTTTTGGCAGTCTTGCCTTTCCAGCTCCATTGGGTGTGATATTAGGATGTTTACTTGTGATCCTTCTGTTTTCTTGAAGTATGTGTGTAGGGCTATATATTTCCCTCTTGGTATTATTTTCACGGCATCCCAGAGGTTCTGGTAAGATGTGCCTTGTTTTCGTTTGTTTCCAGGAATCTTTTAATTTCTGTCTTGATTTCTATGTTGACCCAGGAGTTGTTCAGTGATGTGTTGTTTAGTGCCCATGTCTTTGTGTGTTTTGGGGGAATCTTGTTGGTGTTGATGTTTATTTTTATTACACTGTGGTCTGAGAAGATGCATGGTTATTATTTTGGTCTTATGGAATTTGTTTATGTTTGATTTATGGACAAAAATGTGGTCAATCTTGGAGTATGTTCCATGTGGTGATGAGTAGAATGTATATTTTATGGTTGTAGGATGAAGTGTTCTGTAGATATCTATTAAATCTATTTGATCAAACATCAAGTTGAGGTTCCAGATCTCCTTATTAATTTCTTGTTCAATTATCTATCCAAAGTTGTTAGTGGGGTATTTAAATCCCCAGTTATGATAGTGTTAGAGTCAATGTCCTCTTTTAGTTTATGAAGTTTTTGCTTTATAAATCCTGGTGCTCCTGTATTTGGTGCATGTATGTTTAGGATAGATATATCTTGCTAGTGAATCGAGCCCTTTATCATGATGTAGTGTCCTTCTGTATCCTTTTAAATTTTTGATAGCTTGAAGGCTGTTTTGTCTGATATTAGACTCACAACTTCTGCATTTTTGTTTTCCATTTGCCTGAAAGTTTGTTTTCCACCCTCTAACTTTGAGTCTGTGGGTGTCCTTTTAAGTGAGATGTGTTTCCTGGAGGTAGCATATTGTTGAGTCATGCTTTTTAAATATACTTTGCTAGTCTATGTCTTTTTAGTGGTGCATTAGGCATTCACATTCAGTCTGATTATTGAAATGTGAGAGTTTATCCCTGCCATGAGGCTCTTAAATAACTTAAAATTCTGCAGACATGTATGCTCTGCTGTTTCTGTGTTTTCCTGTACTCTTGTGAAGTGCAGATGGTTTTTTTCTTTAATCTCCAATTTTTAAAACAAATCTGCGATTTGGACTTACTTGATGTTTCCTTGTGACTGAGTAGGTTATGAACCTTTGCTAGAAATGCCATAGAGGTAATGTCATGCTCTTCCCATTGTGACCTCTCAGGTAGAGTATGGTTTTCCCATTACTAATGACATTCACTTTGACCACCTGATGTGATGCTTGCTAGGCAGCTCCACTGTGATGTTTCTTTCCCCATTAGTAACTAAATATTTTTATGGGGACTTACTTTGTTACTAGTTGAATATACTATTTCTTATCAAACTTTTAATTTACATCAAGATGAATTTATATTTTCCTATTTTATCCAATGGATTATAGTTGAATATTTTTATAATTATGTCAGTGTTCACACTGTCTCAGATGTGACCAGTAGAAGGCCTTTAAGATGGTATGTGTCCTTCTTGTTGAATGGTCCCATCATTCTTTAAGCACTTTCTTGCTTTCAAGCATAAAAAGATGTTCTGAATTCATCTCATAATTTCCTTCTGTCAGTCCTGGAATCAGGTTTTTCTCCAGTGAGCTCTAGTTCCTTTGCTTGAACACTAGAATTTAGAAATAAAGATCTGAGTGCTGGTTGTGCTCATTGCTTTGGGAGTCAGTTTCTCCAAAGTCCTGTCAGAGCTGGAGTACATATGTATATAAATATACAAATGCACCCATTTGTATCTATGTTTATTTATTACAATTCTTAATTTTCCATACCTCTAATTCCAATTTACCACAAGAAGATTCATGCTTGTTTCCTTCCTTTACATATTTGTCCTCCATTTCTGACAGTGAGAAAACTAGCCTCCATTATCCTTAATTTATATACTTATTTGATCAATCTCCCAGTATAGTTCCAATCTGCCATCATTGCCTCTAACTCCATCCACACAGGTTTTCTCCTTATCCTACTTGAACTCAGACACTCCACAATAGGCTGGTAGAGTGGCCAGATTTAGCAAATAAAAATAAAGGATGACAGGTTTAATTTGATTTTCATAAAACACTAATTTTTCTTAGTGTGAATATTTCCAATGCAATATTTAGAATGTATTAATACTAAAAATCTGCTGTTTATCTGAGATTCAAATTTAACTCAGTGTCCTGTATTTATTTGTCAACCTACAGGCTGGCCCTCCACTTGGACACCCTTTCACCCTGCTCAGATTTTGAAACCCAGCTCTGGGCTTCTCCCATGTGTGAATTTCCTCTTTATTCAACTAGAACCCTGATCCCAACCATGCCAGATCATCTTCCCCATATTAAAGCCCTCCTCACC